AACACATGTTACTTGAGCAAATGCCCGAGTAACACTCTACGCTTGGTGGTTGTTTCTGTGTTCATAAACATAGTTCTTCATTATTATGAACGATGTTTTGATTTACTGTCAAGGGTTTCGAAATAACCAACAATTCTAAGGCATAAAATTCTGTATGTTAAAACTTACGAACGACGATTAACACGATTTTTATGACGCCGAAACGCAACGAATATTTAATTCGTAAAAAATGTCGAAGTTAGATAACGTCTAAACTTTTAAAGTAAGAAGGTTCATTTAGCAGAAATAACATAATCCCGAAAAAAGAGTTACATATATTCTGTAATCACCTGTCAGTCCTATAAAGGGAGATGAGTTCGAGATGTGAGATGGCATGCAAGGGTTGTCACCCGGGCTTCTTAGCCCAGCTAAGATCTATTTGCCTATTGTGGCAACTTCGGTACTCCGTGAGCGCTTACTATGCCCCAGGTTGTCAAAATCGATATTTTAAAATTCAACTGTAAAGAAATAAACGTAAAAGTAAAAAAAATTGTTTAATTAATTCTTGTTTTCTGTTAAAATAATTATTATTCAATAAAATTAAATATGTTGAAGTATATAGTGTAAAACTTACAACATAAATATAATGTTTGATTATTATACTTATTTGTTTAATTTCTGTTCAAATGATTATTTATTCGATATATATATATTTAAAAACAAATTCAAATTCTATCTCCTCTAATATAATATTATCATCTATATTGTCTACAACAGCAAAAACCGTTCCAATGCTATCTAAAATTTTCATTTTTTATCCAAAATAACCTCAAAGTAGTGCTTAAGTAAAGGAAATGGTGGCTATTACTTGGCTGAGTATTCTAACTTTTGACAGTTCTAACTTGGAGCAATTACTTAACTATCGAATACAAATCGTTACTTAAGTGATTACTTTTACTCAAGTAATTACTTTTACTTGTTTATAAATACGGGTGTTACTATGTGGAGTCGAGTAACTGGTAATACTTTAGGTGTAACTGGATGATGTAGATATTATAATTAAACTATTTTCAATGAATTATATAGCTATTATCATTTGTTTTTGTATGAAGGTAGGTAGGTACTTTATGTAGATATATTTCAAGACAACGTTATTATTTTATTACTTTAAATATTTCCACTTTCGGATTTCGGTTATAAATTGCCATTATGGTTCATTATGTGCAGGCGGGCCGTTGCTCCCGATATCTTTGCACAGGAACGTTGCGACCCATCACCAGCCAGTCGATACGCAGAGCCTAATTCCACAGAATGGTGTTGCACATTGTCTTCATATATGGTTCCGTGTAGTGGCGGCGTAGGACAATCCACTGCCGCATATCAGCCCTTGGGTGTCAGGAGCCGATAGAGGTAAACGAAAAAAATTAGCAGCAGTATCCTGCTGATTACAACACAGAGTAATAAAAACCTGCGGTTGCCAACGAGTCGTTGCTGTCGAGCGTGCCAGCTATGTGAGAAATACTCTCCATTAGGTTATTTATGGCGGAGGTCTCTACGTTCAGCAGTGGACGTAATAGGTTGCCATCAAAGACTATATAAATTCTCTATGGTTGCCATGTATTAATGAATAAATAATAAATGGATGGACTTTCGCCATCCGTCGGTCACCAGAACAGCGTTCGTAGCTGGTAAGGTGCACTTATCGGGAAATAATTGGCGTATTCCCCCTTACGAGTTTATTTGTGTTGCTCAATTTCCAAACGAGCACACAGTCCACAATTTTAACTTTGACATAGTTTGAAACACATCGCAATCACGCAAACATCGGTATATTTTAATTTTTAGATACCCGAGTAACGTAATATAATGCGTTACATCTCAGTCGGCCATAATAACTCAGCATTATGCTACTTTTTTAACTGGTATTTTGTGAGTGGCGCTTTCCCGCTCGAGACCCATTTACCCTGCAAATTATTTCTTTTTAATAATCGTTATGTGATATACCTGCCTACCAGTGTAAAGTCGGTAATACATGTTAGCCAAGCCTTAAGGAACGCGAGCGTAGGTAAATTGATACAAGGCGAGTGCTGCGAGTGCTACATTCATGGTCGACACGACGTGTCGAATTCAGGCGAGCGCCTTCGATTTATACAAAAAACCGACACTGTTCCGAAGTGAGACGAGTCATGGCGAGCGATCCCAAGTTGTGGCAAAGCACGCCAAAAGAACCGTATACACATTGGTACTCGGTGCACTTGGCCAGCTAGGCGAGCAACGACGAGCAATTGGTACTCGCCTTGACTCGGCCGACATGAATAGCCATGGAGCAACGCCATCTGTCGAAGGTCATGGTTTTCTTAGAATTTCCCTTTGATTTCAATGCCGCTATTAACACCAAGACCAACCGAGGTAGTGGTGATTTTAAACCATATGATTATTTATTTTACATTAAATAAGGACCTCGACATTTTAGAAGTAGTAACCACTACGAATGAAGTATAGTTAGTCCTTACATCTTTCTTAAACCTTTGAGAGTTTTTCTATTACTATTAATAGAAAAACGCGTGAAGGTTTGCTCAACATTTGAGCAAATCGCAATTTATAAACTTCTTCATCAACTTATGCTGGATATGCCTTTCTGATGTAAAGAGGGTTTTTCAATCGAGACTCGCACCTTCGACGTTGTTCTCCGTCGCCGGTTTGTGTATTTCACGTCTGGCGTAAATAATATATAGGCATTCATCCGGAAGGTTTCTTTCGTATTTCCCACAGTCATTTCTTAAATTTAATTCTAAATAAATGGAAAATTTAGTCATTGAATTCAAATATCCACCTTTACGATAATAATCAAATATGCCATATTATGTATTAATGTAGTTATCCTTAGGGTGTATAGTGTATGGGTAAAAATAAAAATAAAAAAATAACATATTTTCACTATAATTCAATAAAAATGCAGATGGAAATAAGAAAACTTACAAGAAAAATGTCATAAACAAGCTTTAAACGTAGTTCGTTTTGTCTGTGAGAGAATAAAGTAGTCAATTTTTCGAAGATTAACTTAATAATTGGAATTAAATTAAAAAAAAAATTAAATACTTAATTACAACTGACGTAGGTACTAGAGTTTTATACTAATGCCTTTTATAATAAATGACTCATGATATATTACTAAACATAAAGTTACACGTAATCGTAGTACTTAAATGTCTGTTTAAATACAAAAGAAATTAAATAATCAGCTTTAATGGTTTATAATTCGTAATGAACTGATAATAAATAATATTCGTGAAATTTATGAAAACGCTTACAAACTAACTTCCTTAACATTAGGTACAAAATTATTATCATTCAGTGGTCACCATGCAACGACTTGCATAGGAATGGAGAAAAACTGAAACTAAATGAGGAATAACACAAAAAAAAAGGAAACAAAAGTAACCGCTACCATCTCGGTCCTATAGCTGACAATAATTAAACACAAAACCAGAAACGGTAAACATGTCATTTTATTATTAGTACAAAATCGTAGATTTGACAACAGTATAAAAATAATTTAAGTGAGGCGCGAGGATACACTTCCTCGGTAAGGATCAAAAGCGTATCATCATCATCAGGCTGCTATCAGAATTTCTCCTAATCACTTACATTGGTCCCTTAATTAAAACTTTTAAACTTTTTATATAAATATAAAATATCACACTTTAAATTCAAAGAAAAAAAAACTATATGCTACTTCGAAAACTAATCACTTAGCTTTGTCAAAGTACTAAAGTAATAACTGTGCCAATTTGAATATTATATTCAAAGGAGACAATAAATAAACAATCAATCTATCTCGATCAACTAAAAATTAAATATAATCGATTTTATTTCGTTATAAAGTAAAAGGCACTGAGTGGGAGGCGGGAGCCGCCATCCCTTTACAAACTATAGTGTACTTATAACTTTATACAGGTATATCGGTGAAGAACGAAGTGTCGGTAGTTCGGCGGGAGTATTCTCGGATTTCTGACATTTTTTGCGTGCGCTCAGGCGTTGCTTCGTCGAGTGCCGAAGCGAGAGGGACTAGTGCGGGCGCGAGGACGAAAAAAACAATCACCAAAACTCCAAACTGGTTTCGGATCGCCGATCGCGCTCTGCGCTCGACGCAAAAAGGAAAAATCCTTCGCGATGCGGGATCGCGGCGATGGGTCTCAAATGAACTGCGGATGATTGATGTTGTCAGGGTGAACACATACTGTGCGATGGTGCGGCAGTTCAGAAGAGCTTTGCAGACAGACGTAGAGCCCACGCAAAATACGAGAACAAAATGGAAGTAAATGAGTTTGCCTGTTTTAGCCCGCCGAGCTCCCGAGGTGGCGGCGGCTGATCCCGTTCGCGATTGTGTAGCGTTACATAGGAATACAGTATGAAGCTATTCGACGCATTCGGAGCGGAATCGGCCACGCCGATATCGTCTAGAGCCACGTCCCGTCGACGCGTGCCCCGTCCGTATGCGGTGCGGCATCGTTGCTGCTCGTTACAAAATAATCATAATAGTTAGAGACTCGAAATAAATAATAAATTATTACCTTAAATCCTTAAAAATAGATCACGAGCGCCTTCTCGCGGTACGGTACCGAGCGCGGGGAGGCAGTACGAAATAAATAAAAAATGTATCTATAAGCTAACTTTACAGAGACCACCGCTCGGCGGACGATCGCATCGGGAAGACATCCGCGAGCTACGCAATAAATATTCTAATAATATAAGGTGCCATTTACAAGTGCGTGCCGTTAACTAAACGATAATATATAATAACTACTATATTCACACCGCAAACTTTCGAGACGCCAGTGAACACTCGTTATGTTTAAAACAACGCGAAAGAATACAAAGAGCATCGGCAAACTGGAGATCATTCGTTGAGCGGGTGAGACGCGGCGATCGGGACGTCGCCCGGGCGCGGCTGGAAGACGTCGAGGAGGCACTAGGGTGACGGACGATCCTTAAACGCTACGCTTGATTCGTTGTTAGGACTAGGCGATGATAAGGTCGCCGAACGCGGACGAGAGGCGGTTGAAGACGGGCAGCCTCTCGTCGTCCGGGTCAGGCGAGTGCGTGTGGCGGAACGCGAATGCGCCGGCGTGGGCGGGGGATAGCGCGGGTGGCGAATGAGGCGAGTGAGGCGAGTGCGGCGACTGAGGAGAGTGAGGCGAGCGTGGAGAACGTGAACCGTCGCTCATGTACGACGTGATCGAGCCGCCCGACGACAGTGATGCGAGCGAGCCACCTGGCGATGGGGGCTCACGACGCCGCGCCTCCTCTGCATTGTGGACGAAGTGGCACCGTGGCCCGTAAGGGCAGAAACCAACCGAGTGGTATGTGCGGCACAGCTCCGTTTTGTACTTGGGGTGGCGCTGAAGGTTGCGTAGCTCGCGGACGCCGTGCGCGAATTGGCACTTGTCGCCGTACTTGCACACGCCGGCCTCCTCGAAAGGACGGCACAGTTCGGTCTTGTAGCGGCTGGTCGCGGGCGGCGGAGCGGGCTCGCTGGTGGTGCGCTCCAGGCGTCGGTGGCTGAGGCGGTCGAGGAGCCCCGCGAGCGCGCGGTGTGGCACCGAGGTTGCGCGAGCTAGCGCCGGGTGTTCCCACGCCGTCCCTGCTGTAGCACCGTTCGCGCCTACTGCGCTCAAGGCGCCGTTTAGTGCGCTGTTCATCGACTGCACTGGCCGAGTTTGGTTCTGGAAAAGATAACAAAACATTTGTTAAGAATGTCATATGTAAAAATAAATTATCGAAGGGGTTAAACGATCCCTATCACTGAATTATTTTATTAAGCGTTTAAATAGGAGTACATAAAACTGTTATACATAAAAAAGTAAAGTAATAACTACCAATATACGTCCTACTGTTAGGCAACATTTTTATAGGATGTCTGGAACACTAACCCCAATGCGTGTTGAGGAATATTATTGTTTTATTTTCTCAGTACATTTATTAAAAAGTTGAATTTAAAATTACAGCCTATATACGTCCCACTGCTGAGCACAGGCCTCCCAACATTTCTGAGAGCGTTTTAGAGCAAGAAATCCAATGTGTGTTGGCGAACTTAAAATGTCTCCGAAATATTTTTAATTTCTCCCTAAGAAAATTGATTGAAATAAAAATCGGGAAGTTATTGTTTTTCGAAAATTGAGTTTTTATCAAATCTTGTTTTGAGATCAAGGAAGCCACCCTGACAATTTTTCGATGGTGTTTGTACATCTATGTGTGTGTATGTATGTATGTTGTGTGTGTGGATGTATGTAAGCCTCTTATAACTTTTGAACGGCTTGACCGATTGAAATGAACTATGCGATGCGATGATGGTCTGCAGGGTCAACCAATATTTTTTTCTTATATCTCAGACATGCAAGTTTCCTCATGATGTGTTCCTTCACCGTTTTGAGCACGTGGTAAATCTGCTCTTAAATTTGCAATTAAATTCCATTGGTGCCGATCGAACCCGGGTTGCTCGCTTACTGTGAAATTTACAGCGATTGCTTCCACGGCTCATACAGTTATTTTAAACGAAACAGATTTACACATATTTTAAACGCTGACATTCTGCACTGTATATAATTTAATTAAATGTATTACAAATAAATTACTGCATCATACACGACTTAAATATCCACTAGGTACATACATAATAATGTAGTAACGAATGAAAGGTTAAAATTTGAAAGAATTTTTTACACAAGTGTCGGAACAAATAATTATGGTTCGTCGCATCGTTTAGTTTTTTTTTTTTTCTGGTTAAGAACTTTACGATAGTCGAGTTTATCGTATTATAGAAAAAAGCGTCCACAATCTGGTCCGGGACGGGTACCTGCTCGTAACAAAAAAAAAAACTCCCCGGGAGGCTGGTTCCGTCTACCTGCGTCTCGTTTTCAGTAATAGCTTCAACGTTAAAACGCTTAATATTACCAATTAACCGAAAACTTAACTGGTACTGTAAAGAACCTCGGGGTTCGAATTTTAATGGCCAACGACCAGATTTCTTTCGTCTGGACCCCTGTCATGAATAATTTATTTAAGTAAAAAACCTCGACTCTATGGATATAATGCGAGAGAGATTTTCTGTTTTAGTATGGTTTTAGTGGTGGAAGTTTAAAAATGCAAATGTTTCGGAGTATGTTTTGTTTTCTGCGGAGCGTCGCACTTGGTTGTGGAAGTATCACCATAACAATGGTCGACTTCACGCGAGAGGCACAGGCAGTTGCCACGGGCGGGCGCGCCGCGAGCACAACCGAGCCGATTGTGCACTATTGTTCAGTTAGGACGACACCACACTCGCGACTGCTACAAGCACTTGCCAGTTTTGATTAAATAAATCATATTCTAAAATATTATATAATATTTAAATATATTATTATATAAATTAATTCCTCATTGATAAACTCTGAACTTAGGGCATATCCCTTAAGTGATGACAATGGGTTTATAATAATGATAATAATAATATAATTTCTTTATTTCGACCAACAAGGATCATATTATATAATTAGTATAATTAGGTGATAACATAGCCTATTGTTGGTAATTAATTATAATTAAAGAAATGTTATATGAAAATAATTAAATAAACATATCTCAGTAAGTACATAGTTGACTTGAGATTATTTATTTGTCAGTACATGGACCATGCAATAATGGTTACTATTCAACTCTATTCGAGAACATTACTTGGATGGGGTTGGAGCAAAAATTATGTTTAATATATTACTATAATAATATAAGACTACATACCATAGAATACTATGTATTATAGTATTCTATGCTACATGCCTACTATGACATACATATAACCTTAAATTTTTGTTACTGTTTAATCTCAATGTATGATGGGATTCTTGATTTAATATTTTGTATGCCTGCTACTCAGACGAAATAAAAAAGTTTTTATTTCGTCTGAGGCCTGCTACCGGGATATAGAGTATAACCATAATTTATTTTATTTTGTACACGTCGAGATCTGTAAATTAACCTATGTTCACAAAATAAACAGATTTGATTTGATAAAAATTTAACATTTACATAATATAATAATTTCATCTATATTATGTAAAGTTTAATTTTTTTGCATTAAATAATGCAAAAAAATATAATTTTGTTTGATTTGGGACTTATTTTCTTGATTAATATGAAATTTACATTAATTGGGTAAAGATGCATATTTGTTTCCAGCAATTATGGATTTTTACTCTACATAGGTTATTAAGAAAATCAATGTGACCGAAAACGCTAATTATGTATATATATAAAATTATTAATTTAACACGTTATTTCTCATACATTAAACAAGGAAGTTAGGAAGTGAACAAAATAATATGTACGCATATATTTTTGAACGTTCACACGATATACTTTAAAAACTTTTTATTACATAATTAAGCTACACATTTATATGTAAGATAACAAAACATTCCATAACCTTAAATATTAACGATATGCGACGACATATGTATCTAAGTCGTGCATATATGAAAGCCTTAGCATGCCTTGTTGCTTTGTCGCAATGAGGATACTTGTCGCTCGCTCTCCGCATAAGGGGCAATGGTCGACGCGTGTCTCAACTAACAGTACATAAAGATCAATTCTTTATCTATTAGCTAACTGTGCAACTGTGACACCTGACTATGGTTACTTGTACAAAAATATGCTCACTTATTTATTCGTATAATTACAACTTTTAATATAACATGGATGGGTAAACCGCTCGCAGAGGCGCACGCTTCATACTTTCCATAGCAATTCAGTTTGTAATAGGTATGGTGTTAGATCGTTCCTAGAGCTTGAAGGCCGGTACGGATCGTTGCGCGACACGGAACATGGGTTCTACATAATGTATGATACGCCGCATCTTGTATGCGGCCTCAATCGATGTGAATGACACATCATTGTATATTCTATGCGTCTCTGCCTCGTCCGGGGATCGTAAACACGCAAACACTTGTGTTTTGGAATACAACATACAAATTATTATGCCACACTCTTTGTTAAAAGACGTACGCAGCAACCACCGTTCCGTCATAATTATATTACTCCCTTTGTGGAAGAGTTTTATTGTTTTCCTACTACCTATGATGTATTGTCATTTTAAGGATGAGATGGTCCTGTATGGTTACTCAGAAAAGCAATAGGTAAATGCGTTGAGTGGAAAATGGAGAGTCTATTCTTATCGGATCGTGTTGTAGTGAAGTTCTGCAGTTGGCAGCAAACGGTCGACAAACAATTACACACGAATGCTTTTAGCGGCGTATGAGTGGTTATTGTTCGTTCTCTGGGCAATAACCGACCGGTAAAGATTGGCTCGGCGACTGCGCGGCCTTCTTCGTACGTATAAGCTTTGTTTACGTGACTTACACATTCGCCTGCAGTATACATAAACCACAATATTTACTAACGTAATTAACGATACCTTCACATTTTCAGCCTGCAAGCATAAATTCATTATAACAAATGACAAAGGAAAGCTGCCCTACTCCGAAAACGTCAAACGGACATTGGAAATTCAAAATTTATTTATTGCGTGCAATAAGTTAACGTTTAACAAGCAATATGGTAGCGTTAAATGATGGCCATGTCAAAGGCGAAAGTGTAACAAACAATTGAGAAACCATGGCGGACGGATCGCAGGTGAAATGCCGCGAAAAGCGGTAGAAGTTCATCGGCTGCCGAGTGGCGATGGAAAACGGCGACGGAGGCGTAATTATAGAGTTATCAGAGCGTAACATTGGTAAAGCGTTGCTTTCCATCGGCCGTTGCGCGGCCGCAGTCCAGCCTCAGGGAAAATCGTAATCACTATCGATTTCGAACGCGCGCGAAACTAAGGGCAATCAGACGCGCGTAAACTCGCGCGGTTGGCGATTGTCTGCTGTTCATTACAATAACACGTGTGGCTATTAAGGCTAGCCTTACCATGCCGCCGTTGCTTTTCATGGACAACATGACACAAGCGAAATTGAAGGGAATGATAAAAGACAAACATATTCCAAGTAAAAAAATAAAGATTCGTTAGTCAGATATCATCATGTCATGTGGTTATGCGTACTTAGAATAATATGCCTTTTCCTACTGGTTTCAACCTGAAGCTGTTAATTGACAGACTAAGCTCTGGTGACCGATTCTTAAATTAATGAAAGATCTATTTATTATATTAAGAATGGATCCAGATTGGTGATGGGGCACAGAATTATTAGAGCGAGGATATCTGCTCTGCGATTCGTGGTGAGTCAAACAACGCTTTCAAAAAACATGTGCTTGCTAGGCGTGGGTCGCAATTTGCAACGTCTTTTGTGCGTAATACGTAGTTTCGTGGGTGGGTGACGCGTGATGAGTTTTCAAAGCGCATGATTTTTAACGCTTATTTCTGTATGGAACGATGGTTATTTTATTATATAAACTTTTTGGTATTATTACAAATTTTAGGATTGAATGAAACGTAATTACCTACATGCTCTATCATAAGACATCAGATGACCTTTACTTCACCTTTTATCCAGACTTAAAACTGGTTGCATAGATGTGTTTTAATAAAATTATTTTTTGTATGTAATTTTACACATCGACATGGCGGTGGCATGTGAAGAGCGGGGCCAGATGTGTCACGTGTGTTAGTACACGCAATAATTTTACTTACACTACGTCGAATAAAACGTTTACACGTCGTGCCAGTCCTCAGGTCAGTTTCATAAAA